TATATGAATTTACGTCTTGCTTACTAGTTGATACTTGATACATATTTAAAAAAAAGTAAAAACCATACTGGAGAGGGGGAACTTAACCCCGTTAGCCCCCCTGAGTACGCATTATGATTTTATAGCCATTATACATACAATATATGGAGAAACTATGAATACATTTCTCCCCCCCCCACCGACATTTTATCCCACTTTAAGCCCAGCTTGTAAATATTAATAATTATAGGTATAAAATATAAAAAATATACAATTGTTAAGAAAAAAAAATTAAAATATTTCAAGAAACATTGAATATCTGTGATTTGATGTGTTGATACTTTATTTGGTTATCGGTTGTGACTGTGGCCTGAGTTCTCAAAGAAGAAAAGCCTGGCAAAAAATTTTAGTAACTTATTATTTATGGGTAATAACAACTTTTGTCTGTAAAAATTAGTCCAGGTTATAAAAAAAATATTTAAAAAGTAAAATAATTATCTCTGTTAGGTATCACAAGTTGTAAATAGGTATTAATTTATTTTCTAGTTTTCTCCTTAACAAATTTTATCATATTTCTAATGTCATTGTATTTTTTCCTTTTTATCGATTTCCCAGTTCGTTTAATGCTAAATCATTAGATTATTAATTTGTCCAACCATATGTGAAAATCTTGAATTCCAACTTATAGAAGGTATATTTATCTTCATATCCAATTTTCATAATGCCTGTATTTGATTTTAAAATTTCTATTTTTTGAAAAATTAAAACCTTTAATTGTTTAAAATATTAAAGAATCTATAATTTAATATTTATAACATAAAAAATAACATTTACTATACTTTGTTGCCTGATATCTGTTACACTGAATGTACTACTATTCTGTAATATTTGTAGGGTAATTTGGAGGGGTGAAGGGGTTTGGGTGTGCTCAGCACCTCTAGTTTTTACATCTAAACTGCGGCGTCCCTGGTAATATAGGGATTTAAACATTAAGCTATTAGCTAGGTACCTATATCATTTTATTTACTGTTTTTCCACAAAAGTAACAGAACTTACATGTATTATACAGTGATTATTTAAATTTGATTTTTTTAATGTTCAAAAAATTTATATAAAAATTATATGAACTTTTTTCCTTGAGAATTTTTCTGTTCCCAGAGTTTATTATGCCGTAGGCACAGTGATTCTCTAACTGGTGGCCGTCAACAATTTTTTTGGTTACTAATATGTCATAGGTATACATTTATAAACAATTCTGAGAGAAAATTAATATTAGGCAGGTATGAAGTAATAAGTAGTAAGTACCTATTATTAAATCAGATTTATATGATATTTTTACCAAATTTAGTTGCTTTATAGTGCTGTCTCGAGCCTTGCTTATAAGACATAAGTTTTGCAAATAGGGTGACTCCTTTGTAATGTAAAATGTACACATATTTCAATATTTAATATTGATATAAGTTAAATCATCTTAGGATTATTGTTACTGTTCACTTTGTCACTGCATGTATAATATGTATATGATAACTCAGTTAAAACTTGAAATACCTATTCCCGTTTTCAAAAGAGAATATACAGGTCGGCGACCAATGTCTGGCGGCACGCATCCCCCCCGCCCAATTTCTCATTGTTAGCGTGATCACGTGGCTCTCGAGGCACCAATTGAATCATTTGATGTTCTCTTTTGAAAACAGGTACATCTAATATTAAAAGTTATAACTACACGTTCAAAATTAAATTTTTAAACATCAAAAAATTATAAAAGAATTTTGCCTTTTAATGAACTAATAACATTAAGATATTATGATAAGAATAAAAAATACAAGTTTTTTTTAATAAAAATGTTATTCTTTAATGACTTAAAATTAATATGCAAGAATAAAACAAAAAAATAAAAAAATATAATAATATAAGAAACATTAAGATGAGATCGCTGTGAAAAGTATGACCAATACAATTTGGAAATTTAATAACTTTACAAGACTAAATTGTTTTACAACCACCACTATAATATATGAAGGGTTATAGGGAAAAACGATAATAGTCAATATTCCTAAAATGTTCAGTATTGCAGTTTTAAAGCGGGACTCTGGTATTTTGTTCCCGTTATGGTAATATTTAAACCTATATTATATCATTGACCGTGATATTTTTTCCATAACTCGATTCGCCACGAAACTAACCAAAAGGTACTATAATTATTTGATTTTTTCTTTTTTTTGACTATGATCGTTTTTCCCCATAACCCTTCATATATATTTAGGTAGAATGGTTTAAGATTAATGATTCAAATTTTAATAATGTAAAACAACTTTGAATATAAATAATTTATAACTAGTTTCTTTTAAAAAAATTACTCATATACATTTTTAATATATCATAATTACGGACAATATCAAATAGTTTAATTAAAAAAATATATGTATAGTTTTACAATCAAATTATAAATAATTGGATACAATTGCTATTAGATGATTTTTATTTCATTAATTAACAACGGATCCCAGGGTAAGGAAACAGTTTCAATATAATATCTTTAATATGTCGGTGATACGTCTATGAATTATATACTATTTAAACAAAATTGGTACAATATAATTTAGGCCTTTTAGTTTTTAATGATGTAGATAGGTACCTGTAAAATAACAAATAACAATGAATATTAAATTAATAAATCTAAAAATAAATGGTTATAGTTAAAAAGATTATTAATTGATATTGATCATATATTAATTTAGTTTCAGAATTCTCTGGTAAACTATATAAGCTCAAAAATGTTTGGGACATTTTTAAATATCTCACTTTATTCAATCATTATATACCATTGAAGTCACATATTCTTCACTTACACAATTTGTCAGGATAACAATCACTATTATCAGTATAGCATATAAGAAAGTATATTGTTGACAATTATATTATGTAGATTCAGTGGTGTGGGGAAGTGAAATACTTTTCGGGGAAATTCATTTTTTGAATGAATAATGATAATATATTTGCTTATATTAAATATAATACTTATTATTGAAATTATTATTCATATTAAATATCATATTCAGATGAAGTTAGTCTTGTACTACAATTTATCACTAAATACAGTACTCATCCACCCACCACTTTAAAATTATCAGGAAACTGCCCTTAAAAAGCACGAATAATACGCCACTATGTAGTATAAAATTATTTGGAACCTTGGAGGCACACTTGGGGAAGTGATCTGTAGATTTTAACTACCTGCTTTCTAAAATAGTTTATTAACTCAAGTGTTATAAAATTTAAATTTGTATTAATACACAATTTTGGGAGTTACTCCCTTCAGTTTGAAGACTACAAAAGAGAATACCCGTTTTTTTATTTATTAAATAACTATTTTATAAATAATAAAAATACATATAAAACAAATCATTTGGATTGGACAAATATAATTGATTTCAAGTTATTATATCTACTGACCATTACTAATACCATTGAAATTGTATGTCATTTTTTATTTGTTTTATAATATTGTTCATATATCCAATACAAACTGCTATGCAACAATCAATATTTTATAGGCCAATAATCTATGTAACAGAATTGTCTCATACATTTTTAATTATAGCTCTAAATTAATTACAAAGATCATGGGTCTGTAAAACCGACTTGTGCACAGGATAGTAGTTAATCCATGCAATTTTTGAAAGGTGCCGGTCAACAGAGTTTTAAGTCAGAAGAGATACAACATTTTTTTTTTTTTTTTTAAACTTGGGTTTTTTGTGGGTATCTTTATAATTACTATTTACTTACAAAAATTGATTTCCTGACTTCCGAAATCGGAAAAACCTACTATAAAGACTTGGGACAGACGACGATCTAGGTATTATTGATATTATTGTTTTATTATTTGTCAATTGTAGCTAGGTTGTGTAATCTAAGGCTGTAGATGAATAATATTTCTGAAGTTATTGTATATTATTATTGTAAATAGATAATTTAGATTTTTTTTAAATTATATAAATATTTCATTGTGGAGGGGGGGGGGGCTTAAAAAAATACGGCTTTGGGTGTATAGGGCTTTTTTCAGTTCACTAATAAGGTTATTAGCCGGTTATTAGCTAGTCAAGCCTACGGGTGGTGGATACATTGGACAATATAATAAAACAAATAAAAAATATTACAGAAAACACTAACATTAGCATTTATTATTAAAGAGAAAAAAAGTGAAGGAAACCATACAATTGTACAATATTATGCTGTATTTTGGAAAATTTAAGTTTCTTTCATCCACCCAAAAATGTTATTTCCTTCATATCATAAATAAAATATAAATAGCCATTTTGCATAATTATTTATATTTTACTTATAATATGGAGGAAATAACAAGTTTGAAGAATCCTGTTGACTTTTAAGTGGATGAAAGCAAATTATATTTTCCAAAATACAGCATAATATTGTATTGTTGTTTTCCTTCACTTTTAAAAAAAAAAAATTTCAGCTCACGAAAAAACAATAATATATTTTTATTTAATTATAGGGTTACTAATGGTTACATATTATATTACTATTATTATTAGCAGAAATATGGAACATACATTTTTTTACAAATATATTCATACAAAACAAATCTTTGGCATGGGCAACACCGGGTGGGTAACTATTAAATATTAATAATATGTTATGGAAAAAATAATTGCATTTTCTCACAATGTTTAGTCCAATGTCTGATATTTTGTTTAATAATGCCAATGGTGTTAGTTTATTTTTAATAGACTAGTGTCTTATATAAGACTAGTGTATTATATAAGAAATGTTGATAGAACAATTTGTAAAATTGTGATTTTTTAGTTGATATTAATCATTAATTATCTACTTAAGATTCTAAAACTTTAGACCATACTCTCAAATACTAAATTATAATGTGTTTCAGAAAAATCTGTCTATTAATCAAATTACCCAAAATAACAACACAAAAGAATGTACACAAAATAGTTAATTGTGAAGATCTGTTATTTGTATTTATTTAAAAAATAAATAAGTTTACCTTATAAAGGACATTCAAAAGTCAAAAATCTCATCCAGCATTGTATTTTGATTTTGAAACCACAGGGTAATATTCTAGAAAATTGATAAATAGTTAATAATTTTAAACGTTTTCCAATTTAATTTTAAATTACTTAGTAATGTCCTTTTTACAACAATATAAGTTTTTATGAGATTGATCACAATAATGACAAAAATGTGGACATTGATGACCGCAATCCATTTTCACGTTGCATACTTTCGAACATCGAACTTTAGCAAAATCACTACTATTGCAGACTGTGTTAATCCAATCCTTATGAATTTGACAATGTAAAGTTAATTTATTGCCTAAAAATTAATTTTTGATGTAATATTGAAAATATAAAAGGTATATATTTAATATTAGTTTCCTACCAAGAGCTCGTTGATCAACTAGTGTCTGGCTGATTTTTTTCCATATCGATGAATGTATAAGATTGTCCATATTTCCCATAATGTATAATCCGTCTCTAGCTCTAGATAAGGCAACACAAACGCGATTTTGAATGTGTAAAAACCCAATTTTATTATCAATGTTACTGCGTACTAAAGACAACAGAACAATATCATTTTCTTCGCCTTGGTAACCATCCACACATTCAATTCTAAAATCTTCTAAGAAAGGACTAGCTTCTTGAATCTAAGCCATCAATTATAAAAAATAAATTAAAATAACATATTATAACACAATATAAGTGAATTACCTATATAAAATATATGTAAATCTATAAATACTATTTTTAGTTGATCAACATGATATTTTAGCATATTTATAACATGGAAGTGTTCACCAAAAAACTTATAATAGTAGTAAAATAAGTTACTTCATTATTTTGCTAAAACGTAAAAATATATACCCGGTCCAGTTAGAGAATGAGCCGCAAACCGATCAAAACTGGTTCCTCGGGCAACACCCTGCCAAAGGGGAACCGGTTTCTATAGTAAGACGGAGTGGGGGGATGTGCAGAATTGGAGCGTTCTCTTGCTGGACAGAGTATAGGCAAAATATTAAGGTTGTGACAAAGTGAAGCAGTTTCTCAATGTTGTATTGTCCCACCTATTAGTTAACTAGACATTTTTTAAATTTAAACAATTTTAACTATCATATCATATTCCATGAACCTATAATTTTTGTTTTGTAAAATACTTAAAAATTCATGTTTAAGATATTAATTTATTATGAACGTTACTCAAATCATAAACAAATCCCAAAACAAAAATACATTTATCAAAATCTACTTTAAATTATTTGAATTACCTTTTGAAATTCTAATAATTGATCTCGATAGGTAACTAGTATAGTAATTTGATTTTGACGATAGCCTTGACTTGTAAGATATCTGGCAAATTCCATAAAAAATTTTACTTCATGAATATTTTTGTGGCTATTAGAACCAATTTCCTAATGAAATACACACATAATATAAATATATATAATACTTAGTTAATTAATTATAATAATATTAATTTGTTCATTGGAATACAACAGACATGAGCCCAATTGTAAAATAAGTATATTACATGACATTACTATGTTTGAATTAGTATATGATGGTTAATAACATAATACATAGGGGTCGCCGCTTATTTGACTCATTTACACCAGTTAATGGGGTCTATGAAAATTAGATAAATAAAGAAGTAAAGGGAAATTCTGGAAACACTGGATGGATTTATATCTAAAATTAAGTGTAATTACCTAGGTTATTACAATAGACAGATAAATATATATTTAAATTGTATTTTTTTTTATTAAATACTCACATTATATTATTATTATACATTTTATTACATATTTCTGTCTACACGATATATTTTATTAGTTATTACTTATTACATATAAATGCACATACTTGTACATATATATTTCTAAACTAAAATCTCAAGAACTATTTTAGATTTTTGAAAAAATAATATGTTTATTTATTGACATCTTTTATTTTATTGACTCATTTGGTTAATGGACTCAAATTGCTCGGTATTAAAGTGAGTCCAATAAGTGGCGACCACTGCAATAATGATCTAGAACAACGGTTCCCCATCTGGGGGGAGGATATAATTATAATGGAATTACAAAAATAATTATGTAATTTTACATTGTGTAAAATTGAAATCATTATATTAGTTAAATTTACTTATATCATTTATATTTTATATTAATATTTTTGTTTTTAGATTCTAGAATATAATAGGGAACAACTTCAGAACTTAACATGAGATTTAATTATTTAATGTGAAATATCTGAAAAGAAATCAGTTAGGTATTTGTTGCATTAAGACATTGCTCTAAATCAGGGGTCCCTAATTAATATTTTTAAAGGGCCACATTTGGAACCTGGAAATTGTTCCCAGGAAATCAAATTTACTGACGTCGGTGAAAACCGATGAACAAAAATTATTAATTACAACATTAAAGTGTATAATATTAAAGTTTTTCTTGTCTGCGGGCCGGATACATTTTTTTCTAAGCAGGAATTGCCCGTTTTAAAAAGTGTAAATGTTGGTGTTCTTTTTAACCGGACATAACTAATTATCTATTGAATCAATTAATCTATATATATAAAAATTAATGTTTGTCTGTCTGTATGTGTGTTCTTGGGTTTTGAAGCTATTATTATAATAAATATTGGTTGCCGAGCAAAGACGTGTACTGGATCATTTGATAAAAAAGCTAACTAAAAAAAAACATCTTTAAGCACTATAAATGCTAATTAAATTTAATTAAAGTAGACTTATTTTGTTTCAATAATCAATTTACTTTGCGAGAAGTTATTTTAAGTAAAAATTCCAATTATAATATTTTAAATTAAAATGGGGGGACGGAGTGGCCGAGCGGACTAAGACGTCGGTTACGACGCACCAATGCTGGTTCGAACCTCAGCCATGAGCAGCACTTCTATTTGGGTAGTCACGGTATCTGGAGAGAGAGGCCGCCATCAACCACCCGAGCATGGTAGATACCTAAAGGTGATCACTTGAAAATTCTGCCAAACTAAAACACACGTGTTTAAAACCTACAGTACTCTCTTCCAAAGTTAAAAACCACCCAATGGCCTTAGTTAACCCAATGGGTTATTTTTTATTTTATTATAATCAACGCCAGACGGCTTTTACAAAATTATACAAGCAAGAAAAACGTAGATAACAGATAAAGACATCATATTATTAATTATTATAGCAACCTATAAGATGCTTTACATATACTTACAAAAAAAAAAAAAAAAAACAAAACAAACGTGGTGAATATGATATTAGAAATAAAAGATAGCCATTTTTTTTTATTTTTTTGATTATGTGAGGCTCCGTAATAAACACTAAATACGGTTTAATAATCTATATTATTATTTGCATTATGCATCATTCTTAAAAGTGGGACATTCATGGAGAAGTTAGATTTATTCTTTATTGGTGGGTATATAAAAATTAGACTGAAGCCTAGTATTACTAGGAATACGAAAACTAAGTTCTCCAAGAAGTCTTGGGGCATCAACTCGACCTCCGATCAGACCCTGAATAAAAGTGATACCAAAGTTATCACGCCTAACTGAAAGGGAATCAAGTCTCAGAGCTTGACGTACTGGCCCATAATCATGTGGTGGATGGGGGATGTTGAGGCAATGACTGGCGAAACGCATAAAACTATTTTGAACACGGTCAATTAATGAATCAAATAAAAAAAAATTATAATGAACTTCTAATGCTTTTTGTATAATTTGTTCACGTTATTTTGTGTGCCGTGTTATATAAAGTATATAATTTCTTGAAAAGTAAATAAATTATTGTAACAAGATAAGTGTATTTCAATTCAATTTACTTAGCATTTAATATATTATAATAAGTAAGACCGTCGCCGGTTCGAATCTCAGTCACAGGCGGAACTTCTCTCCAGGTAGACATCTGTCCGGAGAGAGGCAGCCATTCCCCACCGGGCATGGCAGAAGCCTACGGATGCCCAATTTGAAATTCTGATAAAACCAAACACATGTTCTTACCAAACTACATTACCCTCCCCTACAAACAGCTAATGGCCATAGTTGCCGGGCTTTAAGATCAATAATAAAAAAAATAAATAAAGTAAGAATTGACATGAACATTAATGAGAATATGAACAATAGATATATCTGCTGCATCACATTAGAAATCCAATGTAGGCTATTTCAAATTTATAGGAATAGCCAATAGCTTCATAATTATTAACTATTGTGTAGTTTCAATGGAAAATATAATTTGAAGCCAAGTATTTAAGGTTATGATTTTAGACTCTTTTGATTGATTCACTTTTTAAGTTAAAATATGAGTTCTGGATGATAGCACCATATTCCAAAATAGACATAATAAAGCCGAATAAAGTGATTTAAAACATCTAGGATCTGTGAACCTGGAGGAGTGACGTTTAATAAAACCTAATGTTTTTGAAAATGTCTTCATGATAGATAGTTAGTAAGGTTTAAAATTAAAACACTCTAGATTGATATTATTATTGATACTTATACAATGTCTAAGTAGAATACACCAAGTGGTGACCTGTATCTGACCGGAGGCGCACATCTTGCATAAATCGGCATAGGTAGTGACCATTGGAAGGGGAAAAAAGTGCTCATAAAAGATGTATTTCACTTTGAGACAGAGTGTAATACAAATAAATAGTAAATTATTAGTTACTACTCAATAATCAATAATATTCCTTACTTTCTCTTCATTTACTGTGTGGTGAATAAAATATATATTCTTAGTAACACCTCCAATATCACTTCTATGTTTAACTGACTTATGATCCATTAAGAAAGGATAAATAGGTTTCATTAAAGCAGATATTTCAGGCCGCATTCGATGTTGTGTGGCTAAAGTATAACAGGGAAATCCATTTTTTACCATGCGTTCAAATAACGAAACATCAAAATTAAACCGTTTTGCAAGTGTATAAGATGCATTTCTTGGACGTAATTGTTGATGATCACCTATAAATTATACAAATATAATTTAATAAATAATTGGTCATAAAATACCACAATTAGTACTTTTATTTTATTTAAAAAAAAAAAAAGATAATAAAAGATCATTGACCTCCATTTTTGTTATGATAAATTCAAAGTATAATACTATAATATACAGATCTTCAATATTGATAAAGTTAACATTTTAAAATATTTGAAAATTAGAAGATAAAATATTATATAAAACAGTTATCCACTAGCAAATTTATTTTTTTGTTTACAATTTGCCTTTATAGTTTAAACTGCTATCATAAGAAATCAATGAAAATTCTGTGCCAACTTTTAATAATATATTGAAGTTTAAAGTATGTAATAAATACTCACACAATTAAATTACAGTTAAAAATATTTTTTTAATCTATAAATCTTAAATTGAAAAATACATTTTAAATGCTATTTAGTATGCAAGCATACCTAATACTTACCAATTAAAATTAAATGTTGACAAGATTCAGTTAAGGACGCAACTACGTGTGACTCTAAGACTTCAGCAGCTTCTTCCACAATAACTGCAAATTTTAAAATAATATAATATCTAACAAATAACAAAAAATAATTAATTAACAAATCATCTAGTATTTAATTTAGTTTTAGATAAGTATACTATTTATTAATTTAAATGCTATAATATTTAATTTAATATTTTAGTATTTATACCATGTACTTATATTAATTTACATTAACTATATTTAGTAAAAAAAAAAAAATCATATTTGTATCATATAACTTATAAGTTCTAAGTACTTCTAATGCATGAATGACATTTTAATGCCCTAGTATTTTATTATATTTACTATAGTACAAAAGAAGTTAAAGTTCCTTTTTACAATAAGGTATTTATTTACAAATCATTAGTCAACTAATGATGGATTTTGATATTTTATTATTATAAGATAGTTTTGGTAACAAAGTTTAATTATTATTAAAATATTAAATTTTGCATAATTAAATCTCTGTATTGAAAATATTACATCTTTATACATTAAATTTAAATAAATACCTAATGTGTTTTATTTTAATTATTAAAAATAAATAATTTCAATCTATACAAAATAATAGTATAATATAAATATTATATTATATAATATAATAATACAAATCTCAACTAACCTATAGGGGGTCCTAGTTCCAATAATAGAGAATGTCTCATTGCAGCTCCAGTAGTAGTAAGTCCAACTACATATGAATTATTCAAATGTAATTTTGCTGTAGGACTATTAATATTTCCTAATACATGGGATTTTAAGACAGCTGATTTACATCCACCACCAATTCTTGTAATTTTTTTAGTGATATTAATTAAACCTTCAAGAAATTGATCCAAAGCATGATTTGTATAACAAACAACTACAATTGGTTTTCTAAGTATATTTGTTTCATACATATTCTCTATAATACTTTTGGCTATTCTAAGACCAATATATGTTTTTCCAGTACCAGGAGGTCCTTGAATTACAGTAAATTCTTCAGTTAATGCAGCTTTAAATGCCATTCTTTGAGCACAGTCAAGTCCTAAAACATTGTTATCTGGCCAAAGTTTATCATTTAAAATATCAAACTGTGAACCATTAATATTGTATATTTTTGAACTGTATTTTAAGTACGCCGGAACTTTAGATATAGTTTTTCCATACACAATATACGATTTCATAGGAAAGTTATAATGGTCAAATGTTTTCAAAACTTCCATACTATACATGTAGGGTAAAAAATATGCATCAGATTCAGCCATAGTATAAGTTGAATTCAATTTAATTGACGGTTTATTACCCAGAGGTTGAATTACTATTGTTTTTATTGGTAATGATGTTTGCCGATTCATTTTTATTACTGTAGCAAAAAACATTGAATTAAAATTATCATCACTAAATACCAACAGTGATTCAAACATAAATTTTTTTGAATTAATTGAGCAATCATCTTTAGTGAAAAAATTTACTAAAAATGTTTCTTTTTCTGTATACTTTTTTGTAATCTTTGCCTCAAAATAAATACGCATATTAGGCATTTTTATAGCACATTTTTGGTTAAGTTTGCTCATTATTTTATAAGATTGAATACCTTCTCGCATCGGAGCTAAGATATCTTCACGAAGCAAACGAAATTGTACGTCAATGTAATGTTCTATATTATCATAACCTCCTTCCATTATATTTGGACTCAAAATTACTTTTTTTGCAGTAATATCTGTGATTACAGGATAAATAGAAAGAGACTTATAACATTGTGGCCATCTTTTAACATCATAATGCACAGCATTTTTGACAATTTGTTCAGTCTTCGAGTCATTATTAATCAACACTAATTCTTGAATATCAGTTGAGCTGGATTCAATTAAAATGGGTTGTATGAATTGTATTATTTCATTCAAGAGTTCTTTAGATTTTGGATTTGCAATTATTTCTAATATACTTTTACAGTTGATGAAGAATTCTTGTAATTTAATCTCACTAATTAAATCTTCAAGTTTAGTAACATCAATAAGAGAGTCATTTAAGTGTTCCAAATATTTTGAATTATATATCATATCTAAAGCAGTAGATTTTATTTGAGTTAATTGTAATAATTTTACTTTTGAAAATATATTCATCAAATGTATGAGTACTGTAATATCTACACATTTATTCAACGTATATTTGAAATTATTGTTATTGATTAGAAATGCAAACAATTTTTCCGGTTCTGATTCTGATAATAGTTCTAGTTGTTCATAATTTGTTACAAGATTACGAGGTGTAACATTTAGACTGCTATTTTATCACACAATTCATCCATGACCGATGTTTCTATTGAATATAACTGTAGTTTACTTTGCAAATATTTGTTTTTGATATTATAAGCTTAATGTTAGTTCTATTTCATATATTTATTCATCCAAAATTACTACTGAAATGCATATAAAAATATAAAATTTAATTGTAGTTATACAATAATATTAACAAAATATTAAATATTTCAACAAATTATTATTTAAATATTTAATATTGAACTAAATATTTTTAACAACTACGTAGACTTACAGTAAATTCCAATATTTTAGATAGTATTATATTAAATTTGGTTTATAAATGTTTGAGCACAATAGAACATTTTTTTTCAAACCCGTGGCTCAAAGCGTGCATGTGGATAAAAAATTGAAAAATAAGTAGAAAATTGTATTCATGCCAAAAATAATTATTTAACACTATATATATTTATGAAGGAAAGGAATATATTGCTCGATTGTTGTACCTATGTACATTTATAATAATTAATAACATATTCCCAGGTTTATTTCCTAATTTTTAAATTAATACAAATTTTAAAAAGTACAACCAATCGAAACTCTTATTTATTTTATATTGATTTTTAGACTTCAGTTAACTTTGTGACAGTTGGGTATGGTGTACTATTCTTTGTTGTGTGGATTTAGTTTAGTGTATTTTAAAAAATTAACTTTTCCCTATTCATTTTTTAATATTGACAAATGTCAAAAAAAAATTAAGTTCGTGCAAATGCTAATGAATAACAAACAATTTCTAATAATATATTTTAAATAATAGACAAAACTTTACCAGTAAGAAAGTCCCCCCCCCCTTAGATTTTTAATCATATTTTAGTTTAAGATCAGGGTTGTCAGGGTTTAGCCCCGCCAGAAAAATGTCCCTAGTTGCGCCTATGTACGTGTCACCTATAAAAACGTTTATAATATGCGTTATATTACGAACTCTGCTTTAATGCAATACATTTTTACACTTCTTAATATATCATACTTCATACTTCATATTGCTTAAGCCCCTACCATGGTGTATCAATAATATTAATACAATTTGAAACTTTCATGAAGCAAACACTATTATTTGAATTGTAAAATGAAATCACTGATATTAATTAATTAACATGGTCTAGCGCGATTATTAAAAAAAATGTATTTATTAAACTTACCAAAATATGTATCGTGATGTTTTTGTTACAGTGCAAATTAATATTAAATATCGTACTATTAAAATAGTTTAGTCTTCTATAAACAGGAAAGAACAGTTCAATGAACGAATATTGGTGTTCAGTAAAAATGGAATTACGTCAATTTATAATTATAAATTACAAGTAAGAAATAAGAATGTAAAATATTTTATTAAATACCTATTCATTTATGGATAACCGGATACTGGTCACTGAATATTGGATAAGAGCCAAAGAGGCATATATAATTTTATGATTATTTATTTATTTCCAAAAATAAATTTATCAACTAAAACCCAAGGAATACTAGTATTTATCTAACAGTGTTGACTTTAAAGTACTAAAAGTTGGAATATTGAATAGAGATTACACTGTAAAAAAAATCCCGCATTTTCGGACTGTGCAGTTCTAGATAGTTCAATAATTGGATCATAATAATTCATAATTGTAAATTGTAATTGTATGTTATACATTATTGTCAAAATTAATAATTAATATTAAAATATACAATGTATGTATTATATAATATAAATTATTATCATCTATGTGCAATACCTATATTAATGCAATTCTCTACATCTTGCACTGACCATTAAAACAAATTTAAATTGACTTCTTGCCACAGCACAGATATATATATACAGCGTATAATTAATAAATGTATTATAATATTATCTAATAATATGTGCTACGTGCTACAGTTCGTTCTATTATATTCTGTGTACGAGGAACCGGAACGTATCTACCTATATTAAATTATATTTATAAACTATTATTGAAAATATAAGCAATTTATTAAATATTAAGAGGACGCTACACCTGCATGTGTTGTCTCCGTCTTATTAATGTCAAACATCAAAAACTGTTTTGGCGCTGGAAAGAACCGAGAGGCGAGAAGGCTGAAGGCTACAGTAATAACCTGAGACTACCTAAGAGACGAAATTTTCACCACAAAAATGAGAACTTTAGCTGTAAAATATCGTTTTTATTTTTGCGATATCGGAACTACAAAAAAAGTTATTGAAGTTTGAAAATGACAACAAATTATGGATTTTGAAAGAACTTTTTTCGTATAATAAGTGATATCAAAAAAATAAAAAGTTGAACAAGTGGGTGTTGCTTATTACTTTACATATAGTAGGTTACAAGTGGTTCAGTGAAATGGATGGTGTTAAATTTGAATTCAATGATATATCATCATTCATCATTGTATGAGAAAAACGATTCTAAGCGAAGCCTATGATATTACTAAGTATATTAATTAATGATATTATTGTGAATAAAGTAATTAATAGTATAACCTATTTACATTGAACCTTATTTTAAATTTTAAATTCTTAGCTATAAAAGTTGAACATTTTATAAATTTTTAGCTACAAAATAATTTTAAAATTTTGTCAAAAATTGAACTTTAAATGCTTATAAAATTGTGTCTAGGTATTTTAATATTTTTCAACTGCTATTTAAGCAATATTACTACCATGTTTACTGTCGACGTTTGTCGTGTGTGCTGAGGTGGCGTGGCGGTATAAGCAGCAGTATAAACTATGAATGAAAATAAAAACACATAGACTACCTACGTCATGACAGTTCTTAAGTCTTAGTAGGTACTAGGTAGGTATATAATATCATTCGGGCACTCGGAAAATTATAATAACTTCATATTATTTTGTAAACACATTATTTTGTAAGTTGTAATATGTATACAAAATACACAATACTATATACGGTGTACCGACTACTGAGACTAGCTATTATAATAGAACTATTTTGCGGGTATTCTAAATAAAATATATGTGATTAATTATAATATAGGTATATTTTGTTATGACTTTTTCGCACTTTTTTGTTGCACCCCTGGTCTGGGCCAGTCTATCCTGCAAGCCCTTTGCTACGGCTCTTATTTATTATTATTGACAATAATAAATTATTTATTGTCAGTAATAGTGTTATATTTTAATTATTATGTATTTCTGTGTGTGTGTTAAATGTTAATAATGTACGTCGGAAGCGATATAGTATTCGGAGAAGTCCACGTAGTCTGTTTTACAAAAAAAAACATACCTACCTATACCTACATATAGCCACAATATAGCCAATATGAATGGATTTACATTTTTAAATAAATTGGAAAATATAATTTTATTATTATAATAATATTTAAAATGGCTTTCATCCAGTTCATTTTAATTTTAGAATCACAGTAATTATGTAGAAATTAACTGGCTAACTTATAAGTAGTTATACTTAGGGCTCGGAACTTGATGTAGGTATTGAAAATGTACTAAATCCGCATGCATAAAAAGTACTTTACTATTAATTTTTCTATTGGAAAATTTTCAAATTACATTATAATTTATAAACATCATAATTTTCAAATATGCTCTAAAAAAATGGTAAAATATACTCTTAAAACAAAATTACTAAAAATTCACTATAAAGTTTTAATATTTTTTCGTTGTGTCGTGAAATTAATTCCAATAAGCTTATACTTAGCAATAAATATAATAGGCCAACAAAAACATATTAATACAACAACTTCGGAGCCCTAGTGGCTAGTTTTAATATTTGATGACTTCCTAAATAAATAATAATTATAATCTATCCAAAAAATATATTGGGTACCTACATATTTATAAGACAATGACTACGTTTTACACAGTGATGTTATATCTATTGCTAAAAATATTCTTTGGTAGGTACTTGATATACTCCATTTTCATGGAGATAGGTGACAAATCACAAATGACAATGGTAAAATACTAATTAGTTAACACAGTAGCCACTAGTGTAATAACCATATTATTAGTTTATCAAATAATATTGTATGTGTGTATTTGTAGTAACTGACATTCAATGACTTTGCTATAATAGCATATTATAGGAAAGCCTGTATAACGATCAAAGGTGTAAACTAATGATAGAACACACCTCTAGATTGTACGGAAAACATCATAATACAAGGTGACTCCACTTAGCATAAATAGGAAAGTCATTGACTAAGTCGGGGAGTCGGATATTAGAGACGACGAGAGTATTGTACTTTGAGTGTTTAACCGACGTTTGATTATTTTAATAAAAATACTTTAAACATTCGTAAATTTGTGTATCTTTATTATACCTCTAATTCAAATAAGAGTGCTAGAATGGACACGTTACAACACTAGCCAGGCTTTTTTTCATGAGGGGGGACTGATTAACTTTTACATTTTTACCCATTAAATACGTACTAGCACAGATAGATAGCTGAAAAGTGTTAAATAATGCTTATAGTACTTTTTAAAATATTTTAAATACAATTTAAAACATTTTCAGCGATTATCACAGACCATTAAGATAATTTTTAAATTTTCTTAACATTTCGGTGGGGGGGAGCTGCAGCCCCCTCAGCTCCACCACTGAGTTAACACCTTATTATTCACCATAAAGTAAAAAAAAATATGTTCTTACATGACTCGAAATATTTATCTTCTCTAGCCCTTAATCTGCCCCTTATTATGACTTTCAGATTCAGATACAAGTAGTCGCAGTGCCGTATCCAGGGGGATTTGTTATTATAATTTATATATATTTTTGTCACGCCTGCACCGAAAGTTTGGTTTTCGATAGCGGTTTAAGCGCTGGAAAGCTCCTTTTTCTGAAGAATGGACGTGATTCTAGTTGCCACATTCGAAAGGTCAAAATTGAAAATTCCTAGAAGTTTTCAAAAGCTTCGTGATTCGGGAATAACAAAAAAAAATGGCAAATTTCAAGCGAAACCAATTTATGAAAAAATCTAATTTATTTTTTTTGTGTAACTCTAAACCTAATAACTGTAGTCTGTAGACACTTGAAATGTTCACCAAATATTTTTATTAGCTTTTACCATATAGGGTAACATTTTCAAAATATTTTTTTTTTTTGTAGGTATACTTTTGAGCTATTTATAGCCTTGAGAAATGTTTTGAATTTTGTAAATCTTTTAAAAATTATTGTCATAGACTTTTACACTTAGTAAAAAAGATTGAAAATTAAATGCAAGGATGCTCATATAATTTTTAAATATGCATTTTAAGTTAAAATTTTGACAAAATTCATCAAGTCTTTCTTTTCATATCATTAGACATTTTAATTTTTAAAAGAAGATTCCTATAAATGTCTACCTTTATCAAAAAAAAAAAAGATCACTGGAAAATTACCCTATTTATATCCATGAGATATTTTTTAAAATTATTTATACAAGCATTCTAGGAATTTAGGATGAGTCAATATCTCCGGTTAGAATCGTATTTTGTATGCAATGATTTCATCATTAAATTAAATTAATATAATTTAAGCAGTGGCTAAAGCCCCCCCCCCCCCATTGCCCTTATTATTATTATTTTTTCAAAAAAATATTAATCAAGTTAAACTGTCAACTATAGTAAGCAAGACTTAAATTTCATATATGTCTTACCAGAATGAATTCATTTTTGAAAAAACATTGTATTTGCATACCAATTTTCATAAATTATCTGTAATTTTTCAGTATAAGTATGAACTACTTGTATGAAAGACCTTGTATTGAATTGTCTAGCCTTAGTTATACATATTTTATAAGTTTTGAACTACAAATTAACTGAGGTTTTGGGGAGATATTTGAACTTTAAATGCTTATAATAAATAACTATGATCATCATAGTATGTCAGTATGATGCCTATGTATCATTAATATTTTAGCTATAATAAAAAAAACCTACGTGTTATATTTTTAAGCTTTATGACCAGATAAATAATTTTTTATTGACATTTATAGAAAAAAAAAAAAAAATGTAATTATTCAAATACAATCCAAGTGAAGATGGTATAACCAAACATTTAAATACATTTTCATTTTTTTTTCTCCAATTATTTTTAAAAGCTCTGAGCATTTTCAATTTCGACCTCCTAAAAGTACCAACTAGATCCAATTTGCTTTCAAAAATATACACTGGGCATCGAAGCTTATATGATCAGAGCATTTTTTCTACCAGAAAAGTTGAAAAGTTACAAACATTTTAAATACCTCAATAACGTCTGAAGTTATTAGACTGGACAAAATAAAATGTAAACAAATTAACTAATTTTCAAGCCCCCCCCCCATTGAAAAATCCTGCGCACGCCATTGAATATAAGTATATAACACATTCATTATAATGTCATGCTTGACAACTACTATACGGCTGTATATAATGCAACTACTATACAGCAAAGCTGTAACCTTTATTTAGTTGATTCAACAAAAATGGAACTGTTAAATCCAAAGTAGCTGAGATTGATTGTTCACTAAATAAAATTATTGAAAAAAAGTTTACTAGTAAAAGGTGTGTTATATTATGATATATTCACATCATAAATACAGTAAAGTTCATAATTATTAATTTTAGTATTTATAGTTTAAGCACTATAGAAAAAAAAATGGTGATGTATACATTTGAAAAATACTATTTTTTAATATTAAAACCATAACAAAATTCAACAATAATTATAATATTATTTACACTAAATACATAAGTAACCAAAATATAATCAGTCTATTTTTATTGAAAATGACGCGCCACAAGAACATCCATCCTCTGCTTTTGGATTTTTTATTAATCTAAAAGCAGCTCTGATTAACTGTTGTTCATAGTCAATTGTCGATCCTCTGATATAATTTAAGGAAGTTGTATCCACCACTATCTTAATACCTTGCTTCTCTAATACACAATCATCGTTTGCAATAGTTCTATCTAATTCAAACTTGTATTGATATCCAGAACAGCCACCGCTTTCAACACATAGACGGAGGAATTCATCTTTGTCACAAATAGCTTCAAGACGTTTTACACAATCATCAGTTACTTTTATGTCTTCTTCGGCCAATTTTGTTGACATTTGTTTGATTATCTGTGGACCCGTTATAAATTTGAAACATTTTTGAACATTTCTGGTCATCAACACAGTAAAGGTCATTTTAAGTTTGTCACAATCAACGTATGTATAATTTATTACAATTATTGAATTAGTATTTTAGTAAGTATTAATTGCACATAATAAATAGTGGTTGGCGAATGATTATCAATACATCAATATTCAACAATCAACTTTTGTTTTTTAATAGAAAATAGAAATTATAGAAATCTGAAATAAAATTATATTATAATATTATTTTATTATGGTTTTGATTTTTGACTAGTTTAGTAGTATCACGATAAAGATAACCTGTGTAATCTGTATTCTGTGGTATGGTATCCATAGATCTAAAAACTTTAGTTAATTGGTAACAACAATCAATCTCTTATCAGTGGTACAGAAGCTAACAATATTGGAGAATAGAGTTATCTTTTACATACTACATTCATGAGACACGAATCCATGATATAAACATTATAAACATCACTGCAGAATGCAGATTGCCAGACTATTTTTTCAAAAACTGTACAACATAATATTAAAAAGCGCCTGATCCATTTGGCATTTACCTATTTAACATATTATGTTATAAATGTAATATTGTATGTTTTGTTCAAACAAACATTATCATTTACCATTCATGATTGGAGATATAATCTAAAGAAGTACCTATAGTTAAGTTAAAATGGAGCCTATGGATGTGTCAGTCACTGACGAAGAGTACATGATGATGAAAGCTAAAAGTTTTCTTGAGACCGATTGTTATAGATGTAGATCATGGTTGCTTACAGCTAAATCAATGTTTCCGAATAATTTTGGAATACACGTATGTTACCTTTACTTCTTCCAATACTGTTAAGCATTTTATATATTTTTTATGTGTTTTTCAGTTTGAATGTTATGAAATAGAAAAAAATTTACGTTGCGTTCAAAGAGCAGCTAGATGTTTCAGTTGTTTGTGAGATGAATTTTTTTTTTTTAAATTTTCGCTTTGTAATCATCAATTATGGTTTAGGCTTGAAGATTTTCCAAACGAAGCAATTCTCTGGAAAGAGATTGAAAACTTTACACCAATATTATGTATGGACATATCTTGCTTATCAGAAGAACAAACATTTTTCAGAGAAATGTTTTCTGCTCTCCCCTTATGTAAGTTAAATAGTACAATTTACATTACTTTGCTCATTCTAATCTTCCCAAGTATTAAAGTTTTGTGTTGAATGTATATAATAGGTATCAATTTTACAAGTGATGATTAATTTAGTTTTAAAATATTTAATATATATTTTAGATTCTGAGCTGAGCAATGAATGTATTGTCTTTTAAGATGCTTTTTATAGTAGAAAAAATTCATTAACTTCTAAGATGGTTTCTGATAGCAAATTATCATTATCCCTTGTATTGTACTCTTGTAATCTAATTATTCTAATTTCTAACCACTCTGTATAAATGTAAGTGCCACGGCTGCTACAGTGCAGTAACAGTCAAAAGTGGAATACATTGACCTATTAATCCTCCTAAGTCTTCTCCCAGAACAGTTTTTATTCTGTATTTTAAATTTAACATATCCATTAAAGTGACCTATTCTATGACAAGGTATATTAGACACCTAACCTAATGCAGAGTGAATGGTTTCCCTTGGTTTTTATTATAATTTTTTAAAACATAATATATGTCTAGCAAAATGTTATTTAAGCATTTGTTTTTATAGCTATTCAACAGAAATTATTGTCAGTATGTGCTGAAAGAAGTGAAGACACAATGGAACATTGTCGTCTAGTACTTTTACTTCTAAATCGTTTCCCTCAATCATCAACTGAATTAGCAGTAAGAGTAGTATTATATTTAATAAACAGCACAAAGCTTAATTATTATTAGTACTTATTATTTAACCATATTTTTAATGAAAGAAATAATAAGAGGATGTGATACCCGCATGTGTTGTCTCCGTCTTACAAGTCTGTAACACAGTACATACACTCTGAAGAACATGTGTAGCACTGTTAATTTAAAAATTAGAGTGAATGTATCACATCCTCTTAACTATATTTATTGGGAAAATAAATATCAAAATGAAACATTAAAAAATAAAATAGGAACTTAAGATGAGAAAGAATAAATAAAGTTTCAGTTTTATACTACACTTAAGAGGATGTTTGCAAACTATTTGTTTTCTCTCTCTGACCCAGACATGTCATACCAAATTCCCTGAATCTGTGATTTGTTAGCTTTTTTTATTAAAGTCTAACTAACTTTGATAAAAGTTAATAACATTATCTGTGTTTATGTGTTGCTTTGTTTTAAATGATATTTTAATTTTTATGCAAGTAGTGTGTATGTAAAATATTTCAATTAAAAAATGCTTACATCCCTTTAAAATTGAAACATCATAAATAACCAATGTATAAACACAGATAACATTCTAAACTTTGACTTAAAAAAGTTTTTTTTTAATTTAAGTGTTAAATTAACAATATAGGTTGGTTCCGCAAAACGCATATTTGGTATATTGCATGTTGGTTAGGTAGAAAAAACAAATGGTGCTCTGAAATCCTATTAAAATATTTTATATTTTTCCCAATAATAGCCTTTAAAATTTTTAATAAATATGAGATTCATCAAAATAAATAATAATAAGTAACTAACTAACTTTTTTGTTAGTTGGAAGTACAGAAATTAAAGTTGTGAAAGGAAATAATATGAAACATATAACACTTTCAAGAAAAAAAACTAACCTTTATAAACTATCTTGCTGATTTCATTTTTCTATTAAGTTAATGAACAATTTGTACGGTTCTAACTACTAAGATATGGTTTAAATGTTAAATAATTAAAAACATAATACTTGGTTCACTACTAAAAATTGTACAAATTGTTTAATATTATTATATTTATTTATTTATATTTACGGGTCTAGCCGTATTCAATATTTAAATAATTATTCAATTATTTATTAATTTGAATAAATATTATTATTATTAAAATTAAAATTATCTGTTTAAGTTAAAGCTCATGGATACAATGATTACAGCAGAAAAACACAACCAATGCCCAAATGTTATAAACTGTTATAGGAAGATTTTAGGTAATAAAAATAGGATTATGTTTAATTTTTATTTAGCTAATTCAAATGTTTAGTATCGATAATATAAACTATATTATTTAGCAAAAATAATATTATATATTATGATAAAAAATGTAGTTATGATAAATGATAATATATATTTTTGCAGTATGTGATCTTGGTCCTTTATTAGTATCAACAAGTACATTAAATCAGAAAAATCTCTACAAAATGTTAACAAAAACTACTGAATTTTATATTACATATGCTATGGGAGGACATTCTATTATTCAGGTAAAATAGTTTACTATCAAATATTATTAACATTAATTTTTCTAAAAACATTTCTTGTAGAACTTGCCTGATACAGAAAATTATATTAAAACACCTTGGGAAGATTTATTTGCTTCATGTGAACGTATCGGTAAAAAACTTTCTTGGGAATTAAGATCTGTTTTAAGTCAAAGGTAATTTTTCGAAAATTTATAATTTACTTATTTAACCTCTTAAATTTTTTGTTTTTAATTATATTTGTCTTACAATTAAGTGATAAACGAAAAGCTTGGAAAAAGGTATCAAGTTTTGCAAAAAAGTTTGTAATTGCTTCCAATAACAGTGAACTTAGCAAACAATTAGTGTTTTGTGGGATGATATTATTTGTACGACATGTTTTTGATTACAATAAATCATTAAAAATTGGTGAGTAATTTTCTAATATTTTTGTAGGATATAATTTTGCTTTTAATACTAATTAACTTACAATTAACCAAATAAGAAGTATGATATTTAATTTATAAATAGTATGATATTGTAATTCATTTATTTTTTTTTATAGAAAATGGTTCAGAATATTTGTTAGTTAAAGCAATTAAAGGTCCAAAAGTACAAATTAATAAACCCCCTTTGAAACAAGCTGTACTTTCCATAGCAACTAAATTAAATGAATCATTGATTGGTATTACCGATGACTCGTCTGAAGTTCTTGATCATTTCAAAATGGCTTTCAACTATTGGGAATTACTTACTAATAAAGAACCAATGTGCACTGGTAGAATGGGATAATATTTGTACTTTGTTTTTCACTATATTTTATAATACTTAAAATATTTGCAGATTATTGGAAATTAAGTGCTCAAATTAAAGTGGATACATTCATAGGACAATTCCTTAATGATATTGAATTTTATCAAGGGAAATACAAGAATCTTTTCAAAGCTGTACCAGTTCATGAAAGTATTAGAAAATCATTATCATTAGTGACGTTATACTATTGTGTACAAGAATTCAAGGTATATAATTAGTGATTTGTTCATCAATTATTGAAAAATTTAGAAACATACTTATTCCATCATTGTTACAGAAATGTACCGAGCACATTTTCGAGGTAGTAGATCAAATAGAAAGTCTTAGCTTGTATGGAAGCTTGTCTACAGAAATAGCTAATCCGCCCGAAGATAGAGAAATGTATTATATTCAAATAGCAAAATTGCCCGTTTTACAGTATTGTGTTAAGATAATGGTTCAAATACTCTACGTGAGTATTACTTAGATTTGAATGGTTTTATTTGAATATTTTCAGCATTATTTATTGATTATTTAAGTTTAATTTAATTTATACTACCTATGTAAAATAAGTAACAGTTAAATTATTTTTTAAATTTAGAATCAACTTTCCAATTATCCATCAACTAGTGATATTCTTATTGGTCATCTTTTAGTATTGTCACAAATGGTTTGGCCAGAAGGAAAAGCAATTGCTGAAGATATGTATAATCACATAGGAAAATTGCCTTTGTTTACATATCCTCAATTTTCAGCTTATATTACTAACATAGATATCATTGAACACTTTATGGCTATGTTTATGGAAAATGATAAATGTGTCTTAAATGTATTTCCATGTGTAGCTTCTTCGTTAAGGTAAGTGTTTATTTCTGATAAATAGTTGTATATTTTCTATTTCAAAAGTATTACTCGTAATTAAATAATAATTTGTATTTATAGTCCACGAATATCAACCAGAGGAGCTGGCAAAGGAGTAAAAGAAGAGTTTCGGACAGCATTGAAAAAACAAGTAAAACGATGGTCTGAACCAGTGGATGAAACTATGTTATTATTTTTTAAGAATGAAAGAGAAAGCTTAATGAAGACTGCTACTCTTATGGAAAAATCATTAACTTTTTAAGTGAGTACTAATTCATAAGTCCTATAACAACAAATTTATACTTTGGGTTATCGTGATTACCACAATATTAGAATTTAGTTCCAACGCTACCTTAACCCTTTGAGGACCATGTATGTATATATACATTTTTCCCTCGAATTCCTTTTAATTTCTTTGTTTATGTTTCATTACTGTAAAACACCTTATATAATATGTAATATATGTACTGCCATCTGTGAAATTTAATTTCAATCAATCAATTTATTTTCATTTATCAATCCTATTAAAATAGGACGTACATAAACATCTTTGCTCATAATTTTTTTTCCAATTTTTCATTCCTAAGCTGCTCCCTGAACTGCATTTACGTATACAAAGGATGCTCCTTGTAAAGGGGCTAATATTTTTATGTTGCATATTTAAGTTATCACAACTATGATTTCGGAATTTTCTAATATTGTGATATTATAACAGTAGTTTATTCTATTGCTATTTTAAGCTAAAATGCCATAAATTAAACATAAAAATGAGGTAAAACCAAATTAAAAATTCTAAAACCTACTTAATTTTGTCGAATATGACCTTAAGTCTGAAAATTGTTTAGCAAAACGAATATAGGTAATATTTAAAAATTTAAACACCGTAAATCATCAGCAACTTGATGGTTACTAAGAAAAAAATTTGAATTTAACTTTATAGTATTTACAAATATTTGTAAATTATAACAATTAATTTATATGCTATAAAGTATAATTATTATATTATAATATAATTAAATAAAATTCTTACTCACGGTATTCTTGCTTATGAACCCAGGTTCTATAACTTTAACTAATACTAAGGTGTAAGGATATATATAAAAAGTAAAATATTTTACTTTAAAAATGCATTTTATCATTTATTTTATTGTATTTCTCATATAAATTTACATAGGAAAGTCTTATGTCATAAGAAAAATAATGTATGTGGTCTTTTTTTTTTTCTTTGCGGTATTTGCCACAGAGGGGTGAACTGTTTGCACAATACTGTTAAATAATAATTAACCCTAAAAAAATTAGAATAATATGAAACTCAATCATTGAATATATTACATAATTCTTATACTATAATTGATAGTAAAATGTATTTCTTGAAACTGTATTCCAAAAATTTAGTAACAATAAAAATAATAATTAATTAAAAAATATTATTTAGTTATATTATTTTTAAAAACTTCCCATACTTAAGTAGTTATACTTAATTGGAATAAATCGTCTGGGGAAATATTAATAATAATGTACATTATATTTGAAAATGTTGATAAGTTGGTTAGATTTGTTGTTTCACAATATCTGTTAAAATACAAATAAATAACATCATTAAATTAGTATTGCATTTTCCAATCATACTAATTTCACTTACTCTCCTAAAGGTACTAATGTTGTATTACTATAGAAATCATATAACTTTATCCAGTCCATACATTCATCTTTATTTGTTTTATTTAATATTGAAATAGTTGCGTTCAATTGCATTTGTGTTCCTGGTGGACCTTCTATTAAAAAAGTGCAATCTTCTAGAAAATAAATAGATTATTTATACATTGTATTTGTTAATATTAAAAAGTTGTATAATGGATATAATACTTACTATGATAATTCCCAGTTATTTTTGAATCATAGTCTAACACATAATTCCCTGAAGATATTGTATATGTTGAATGACAAGGAGTTAATTGTATATGACTTTCTGGCCATTTGAAATTTAATTGCACGCTGTTGCTATAAAAGTTAAAGAATATAATAACAATTTTAATAAAATATATTTTTTCATATAAGAATATCATTTTTGTATCAATTAAAAAATAAAATAAGTAGTATTAAATGTTAGGCCGTAACACGTAGTATGAAACTAAATAGTGAAAGTTAAACAATATATTATTTATAACACAAACTCTTATAAAAAGTTGTAACTTATATGGGTAGTGCCTACTATCTATAGAAAATATGAGGGTCAATTAACATATTTAATTAAACAATCGTGTAAAATGTATTTATGTTTGATTAGATATATTTATTTTATTCGACTGCTGTTTTCACTTTCCCTGAATGTTTTTTTTTTTTTTTTTGACCAATTTGATATTATGAAATTGTATTATTCAAAAGACTTTAAATGTAAGGTATATTTTTAATGTTATAATTTATTATATAGTTTTTATTTTTATGGTCATACAATTTACCAATACTTTTTCATTCCTCTGTGTAATTTATTTCATCTTTAGAACAGTAGTTCTTAAAAGGTTGTGCTGTAAAAATGTTGTTTAGGCCAATAAAAAAAATATAAATTATTATTATAGTTAATCTTTGAAATATTTTTTAATACAAATATTGAAATATAAATATTACTCAAGATATACTTACGTGGAAGTAAATTAAAGTGGTTTAAAAAATAAATTTACAAATCTAAGGAATTACCAATAAATTTACAAATGCCTATATGGACATATACGTTTAAAATTTATGGTTGTACAAAACCAACCCAAATTTGTATTATAGAATCATTCTAGTTGATCACTTTCCATAATATGATAAGTACTACATTATAGTATGTATCAAATTCCCTACTCCTCATTGATTTAAATATTGAAACTGTTAAACAGTTAAAGCCAGCCAATCTAATTATAAAAAATGTTACTTAAATGATAAATTTTTACTAATCTGTTAAAATCACAAATTTCATCAAACACACAATTTGTAAATCCACCATGCATACTAAAAATAAAATATTGTAGATACCTAGTGAACTAAAATAAGAGAAGACACGTCTGTTCTATCACTGGATGGTATTTTTTCCATCTTCTTTTTAGTATATTATAAATAATAATCTTATTTGCTTATAGTACCACAGATTATATAAAATTATAAATATAATCTGTGATAGTACCTTGAAGTATGTGTAGTATGTTAATATTGTTTTAATAAAAAATACAACTGCATTTTAAATAGTTTAATGTTTGTTTAGTATGTAACGAATGTGTTTATTCAGATCTTACAGTATTTGTTATTGAGGAGTAAAAAAATGTATAAAATTAAAAGTGTTACGCAATTTTTAATAGTAATGTATTGTAATTTGGGAGGAAAGTAAGTTTGGGAAACACAAAACAAATTTATTTTATCGTAAATCAGTCAATTGATTTCACTATTTTGATTTATCGAATTCCCTTTTATCTATATATTAGACAAATAGATTGAATTGAAATTACTGATTTGAATAACATTATAACAAAGGTTCATGAAAATCGTAACCTGTACATTAAAAATTCAAACCACCTACATTTTTAATGTTAAATTTATTATGAGCAAATTAATCTAATATATTTAAAACTGTATTTATTATTATTATTAAAACAATTTTATTAAATAATTATACCTATAAATTTATGCATATAAATTGTTAGAATATATCTTGTACTTGGCATTAGACAGTTTAAAAAAAATAACATTTATTATTTGGATTTGTAAATTTTAATAAGATAAACATTTTTTGACACTTGATTTTTTAAATAAAACTAGGTATCAATTTGGCAATAAACTATATTATATCATTGATTTTACAATATTATAAAATCAATGATAATAATCTATTGATTTCAATTGTAAATGTTTTTTATTCAAATAAAAACAAATATTATTCTAATATAAATAATTATTTATTATACATTTTAGTATTTGACATGGTATATTATAATATATTATATTCATATAGTATTAAAATTATAAAATACAAAATATAGTTTTGTTTGAAAAGATATTTGTATTATAAATTGTCTATTTACATGTAAATATTTAAAGACTGATAAGTGTACACACTTAATGCAAAATTAATACTTTGGTCTGCTTTTATTAGAAGTATAGCCGTATTTGATTCAGCCAATGTTAAACCAGGAACATCAGTTGATCCACAGACACTGAAACATTATGATTAAATTAAACACAGACATAGTTATTAATGTTATGAATGACACCTTACTCTTGGATAAGTTTCAAATTTCCATTCTTGACTCTAAATAGCCTGATGCTTTGATTCATTAAACTGTTGTTTACATCCGTCAATCCTTGTTCTATTGATATGGCTAGACTTGAATTCTCCATGCTATTTAACAGTATTGCACAAAACCCTGCTGGTGTCGATCCATTGATTAAAGGTATTTCTACATTATAATGTTTGCTTCTAAAAGTGTTCAAAGAAACTATACATGATCCCCGTGACATTCTTAATGTATGAAACCTTTCAGGATAAGTACCCAAGTAAAAACTTGGCATCCATTGACTGTTATAATATGCTAAACATTCACCAATTATAAAGAGCAAACACGTTAAAGTATAGACCGACATTGTTGTGAGACTGTATAATAATAACTGTATTCCATACCAGTGATAGTTCCGGTCTAATATGTCATGTCCATATGGGACATTTTCATAGGTGGGGACTTAATTGGGAGGTGTATATTGAAACTGAAAACAACAGTTACTATATTATGTTTTAAAATTTTAATTTCATCACACAGCGCCCATATATATTAACAAATAAGTGTTTTATAGTATAATATGTAGTATGCTCAAAATATTCAAGATAAAAATGACAATGGGTTACAAACTGGGTAGACAGACTAAAAATGTATAACAATGTGATATAGAAGTTTATGTTAAATATAATATTTATTGGTTATTGCTATTCTTTTATAAAGTGAATACAATTATTTATAGTTAAAATTTCTGCAAATGAATCTGTATATAAATGTAGTTTGAGTAATCTAAAAATAAAAAAATTGATATTCCAAAATGCAGTTGGAAAATAATAATATTACTTGGAAATCTCCATGATTGTTTACTTGCCTACAAAGATTCACGCTTATTTCTGAAATTAACAATTCATCAAAAGTCCTGTAAAGGCCCTTAAAAGTACAATACAATACATAAAAAAAATATTAAATAAGTCTATAGATTACCCTTATTTTTAGGAATGATTCAATTTTCAATTAATACTAAATATACTAGAAATCAAGACAGTTTTTTAAATTAATAATGTTTCTAAGACTTATTTATGATCATCTCTGGAAAATATACTAATGGCAGTAAGAAATACTATTGAAGCTAATTTTAGTTTATGGTTAATTACGGTTATACAATTATTATGTACGATATGTTTATTTTGTTATATTTATGGACAGTGAATTTTAATATAATTTGTCCTAGCTATAGCTTTTATTATAATTTTTATATGCTACACATTTTATGTACCTATATAGACATTTTTTTTTGTAAATTAAGTTTTTCCATCAATAAAGAAATAATAATATATTATAAATTAATAAAAATTTCATAATATTATATTTAATAATATATTATATTTTATTATAAACTGTATTACTACCTATACACTTTGTTTATGTTTAGGAGTGTTGAAAAAGTTAAAATGTTATTGTTAATTTATGTGCTTTTTTCAATAGATTCTAAAATAATTATTAATTAAATGTCTTACAGGATCATCAGGAGCCGTAATATAGTTTGATCCATAAAAACGGCCAAAACTTTGATGTGCTGAATTACCATCATTACTATTGAACTAGGGTTTCTGTACCCACTGTTGGTGGCACAAGAAAAAAAACTATTAGTGACTGCAGCTGTTCTGGATTCAATTCTCCTAAGTGTCTCACTACATGTAACATTAAGTTGTAATAAATTGTATTTTTATTTTATGCATTCTATTCATATTTACCTTAGGGTTTAGAGTTAAAATTTAGACCATCAATTGTAGCTGTAAGGTTGAAAACAATTTCAGATCCATTCAACCCAAACATCAACCAATTCAGTGGATGGTCTATATTGGCACCTATCATAACAAATATTGATTGCAAATTGACAAAAAGCTGTCTAAAATCTACTATTGGCCGTTTTTTCAAAAAAAATTTTCGAGTACAATTTTACCCTCGTCCATCGGTGACAGAGGGTTAAGTTAAAGATTAATATTTAGAATTCAATTTCGCATTCCTCATTGTATTCAGAGCTTTTATTAGCTCACTGGCGTGGGCAGACTTTAATCTTATAGATGCAGCATACAGAATAAAGCGGCATATTTTTTTACAATCGGCGAATACATTTTGAACAGCGGCTACGCTCGGCCCACGGGCCAATCAATCCGTCGAAAAAATGTTGCAGATGCAGCACATTAACCTTCTGCTGCTCCCGTGCCCAAGCCTATGGCTTACCGTCTTCGATTCCCATTGCGTGTCACGCGTGGCCATAGAAAGGACGACGCTGTCTTATACTTAAGTCTTAATGGTGCTATTCGTGCTACTTGTCGGGAAAACATTTGACGCACAAAAGTTTCATTGTTGACGGTATTGGTGTAAATTTTGGTGACCGTACCGTAAGTTTTCGGTGTGCGAGACCGCGTACGGTCATCGGCACCATCATAATATTATTATCTTCTGGGTTAACGACCGAACCAAGAGTGGTTACTAAAGAGCTACACCCGACCGCGTACATTCTATAATAGTAGGTACTAGTACCTACTATATACATACCGTTAAACATTAGATATTTACATGCTTAACATTTGCAAGATGAGCCGCACTGCCATAACTAAATTCACCAGATTACGCACGGGCCACAGCCTACTATACCACACCACTCGTTTAAATTGAGACTTAACAGTAGCACGTATTGTCCCCTACCCAACTGTGGTGGAGAATACTGTGACTTCCAACACTTACTTACAAACTGTCCATCTCTCTCCATCCAAAGAACTCAACTAAAGAATCTTTTTTCCACCTCTGGTATTAATTTTACCCTCATTGACGCTCTTTCAACCGACAATGTTAACATAATAAAATATACAGTAATTTTTATCCTGCAATCAGGCCTCCGAATTTAAGAGTGTGAACTTTACCAACTATATTATTCCAGATTACCTACTGTAGGTACATAATTGTCGAGATATCATAATGTAATGTTAAAATCTCATTAATAAAAAAAAAAAAAAAACAGTATATCGAGTTTTAAATGTCTAAATATGGTACCACAACTACTTATAGGTTTACTTAACTTTTTTTTTTAATTTTTCGTCATAATTGGCCCTAATGTAACGTCTTATGTAAGTATTAAACCGTTTTAACTAAAAATTCTTTTATTTTTACAAACAATTGAGTTCAAAACATTGACGAACAAAGAGATTTTTTTATTACTACAAAAATATATCTTTATTCTTTCGAAGTTTTTCATATTTTAATCTTACTGATCTATTTTATATAACTCTGATCAGACATCACAATTATTGTTGTATGCTCATTATTTTATTTTTTACAGTTGTACAACAAGCCTGCCATTTCGTTCAAGCGTGTATATGAGTTAATTGAGTAATAATTTTTATTTGTAAGACGTATGATCATTATTACGTTGTTCCAAGAATATACAATAGGTACTCAACCTATTTTGAATATCCAAAAAACGTATTTAAAATTCGACATTATTGCGTAGGTACCTAAACTTTCTCAAGAGTAAAATACGACTATATCTATAACAATTACATTACCACATACATATACTGGTATTGACGTATTGTAAATTGTAATTATTATTTTCAATTTGTATGCATTTATAATTTTTATGGATTACACTTACATATTTCTCACTGACTCGAGTTAAAAAAAAATTGTATTCTTTATTTTCAATCCTGTAATTCAATCATCTATTAAACGTAATGTCATAATTCATCTAAAGCCAGCCGACTGACCACTATTTTTTATTATGTACAGTGGGTCAATAGAGCATACTATTAACTATAATAATAGTAATGGATGACTGATTTTATGGTAATAAAAAAAAAAAATACCGAATTCTTCAAATACTGAAAAACACGTACAATAGTTGATCGAGTTGTTTGGAAACAAATTAAGGGCAGCAATTTAATTAGCGTTTAGCTTCTTGACCCTAATATATTCTCTTATTCTCTGCATTATATTTACTATAATATAGTCCTTTCTCTTTCTCCGTCCAAATAAAAATTAGGTTTTTTCCTCCTATTTTGTATATAAAATTACCATTTACCATGTTGCTGGACTGTGAAGACTCCGCTGCACGGTCCAGAGATTTTCATGACTGACGTATTCATACGTTATTCGGTTAGTATTAAAACATAGTTACAATAGTGAACACTTTATATTCTTTGTTTTATGTCTGTGCCAAATAAATCTATAAATGTTTACGAACTCTAAAAAGAGCGAATTTGCCTATGCAATCGAACCGGAAGCTGCGGTGTACCAAATACACGATCGTAGAGGTAAGTCAAAGTTATATTTTCCATTTATAGCATTATAATTATTAGTATTAGGTAGTTTATTATTGTTATTACAATATTTTAGTAGTATAATTTTTTTTTCCCTGAGATATACCAGCCAACTAATAACTATATATAGCTACAGTAATATTATACCTACATTACGTACTATTATACATTTAGGTATAGTAGGATGCCACTAGGATATAATAATATAGTATCTACAAAAACAAAGTACATGCACTATATATATGCACATACTTTTTAGTTTTCACTGTTATTCGTTTATTATCTGTTATCACATTCACATAGGTAGGTATATATGCCTTATACATAAACAGTTATACATAGGACGTACCTGCTCACATTTTGTATATAATTGTTTTTCTTCTCAGAAACTTAAAAACATGATACTTACCTATATATAATATTACTGTTTAATGTTTACTATTTTTACGGCGCAGCTCAAACGGTTCTCATCCCCATGAATACGTAAATTCTCAAACATATCCTGTATTCAACAACAACAATTCTAAATCTAAAATCGATAGTATGTGGTGGGATAAATGAGCCGTTTTTAACTTGAATATTGTATAAAGAATAACGTACTGAAAAATGTACCTGTGTTAGACTTTAAGTGTGAACTCCAACAACGCTATGTTTCAGAACATACTTTTTTGATTTATAGTATTATTTTTTTAGTTAAATTAAATTTTAAACTAGGTATCGATATATTTATTTTCATATAAAATTAAAAAACACCAATTTAATATTCCTGAACACGTCTCTTTTGGAACAGTGTATTCGTAAAATACGAGAGTTGTTTAGGAAAAACAGGGACCAAATGAGCTAAAGGGCATAGGTAATAGGTACCTTTACCATTCTTACCTTTAAATTTGATAGTAGGTTAACTCACTTAAATATTAAAAATAATCTATAGATTATTTTGAATGCAAAATTTGGTAAGTTATGTTTTGTCCTATTAATATTTAATAAAGATCTGTAATAAATATTTATAACTAAACTATAATAACTATATGGTTTTTGTAATACTTATTGACTATTGACTCGTATTGAGTACCTATTTGAGTAGGTATATATACACTCAATGCTGTACACCTTGTACAGTTGTAACTATATTTAAAATTAAAACATTAAAATTGAATCCACTTGTAAACTTTCGTAAATGGTAATTCAAAAATATAAGCGACCTACACAAACACAGTATGGATACAGGATACATGGTGAAATTATTTTTTAACATTACAAAGAAAATAAATATGAATGGAATATGAATAACAGTACTGTGTATGAGACTCATATAGGTACCTATGCATTGTGTGTATGTGTATTGGACGATGAATACTCTGACCTATTGTCAAAAAGTGCAACGTTAACGACCATATCAAGGTTACACATGAATTATAGATAAATAATAGTAAATATGTCATATACTCATGTGTAAATGTGTTAATAAATTGTTTAATGTACCTAAATAGTAATAATGGATTATGACTATGAGTATAGTTTGAATTTTATATTTTTGTATTTTTACATTCTTGCCTCTTGGATTTTCGCCAGCAATCTTTACGAAACATAATTCATAATAGTTTGAAACTTATGGAAATTTTTTTTTACATATTACTGGATATTTAATAGTTATTGCTTATTGCATATTAAAGGAAATTTTTTTTAAAAAAAAGGTATAAAATAATATTTTGCTAAGTAGAAAATTCAAAAATACATTTTTTGGGCACTAAATATTATAGTAATTGGAATAAAGATCATTAAGGTCAATATTTTTGCTCAAAAATATGCCTTACAGGAAAAACTCTCACGCCTCCTAGAGTGATCTGATTTCAATAATTTTTTTTTGCAGGGCGCATGGGACATGATTTTTCAAAATTTTATTTCTAAACCATAAAATACGATTTTGAATATGACTAATTTTTACAAGATTTTGTTATTTTTATTATGTTTATTTTAAGCAACGAAATTAAAAACCAAAGTCCAATGCGCCCTGTAGAAAATTCTCCTTTTTCTAACAAAAAAAAAAAAAATAATCAAATGAGACCTCTCAACAATGCGTGATGGTTTTTCCTGTAAAGCGTGTTTTGAGCAAAAAATCATGATGCATTTTATTTTTGGTGTCGTTGACATTTGCTCACATGCAGGGCGTGAGTAGATAACCCGCATTCACGCTAATCATAATTGACTATAACACAAATGCCATGGGCGGCGGAAACAAAATTGCATATTGCCTAAATATTGCCCCTTATTAAAGACAGACTAGCAGGCCCCTTTAGATAACTAATTAAAATGTGTTTAATTTGTTTTAAATTATTTGAATATCTCAATTCAATGTATAAACTAATAATATTATTTTTTTCAAGAATATACAATCTATACATTTAAGCTCAATATATTGTGAGATTAGAAAAGAAACATTATATATGAGGTTGAGTGAATAAGGAGCCACCCATTAGTAGCACTTAGCTTGGAAGTAATAAATTATTAAATAAAAATTGTGCACTGTTATAACATATTATCCAATTAAAAGTGTGTTGACTGCATATGATATGTCATCATATTATAATGCTTTTTTGTGCATAAAAGTCCGTGGTCTACTTATGAGTTACCTACCAACAAACTAGGTACCTACTGGCTACTACCTATCAACAATACCAACAACCAAGTGGGTTAGTAGTGGGTCACTAGTCACATAAACTAATTTTAGAAATTAATTTTTCTTATATTTCCTTATATAGTTTAATCATAATATTATTATATATAATAAGTAATAACTATGTGTTTATGGAGCATGTACCAGTTGCCCTAAAAAGTACCTTTTTCATACCAATTCCCCCCAAACTACCTAGAGCAAAATGTACCAGTTGCAGCCCTCAACCAAATTTACCAGTTTCCCCCAATCGAATGTACCAGTTGCCCTCATAAGTAAATATATATACGATTAAAATATATAGTTCGTAAATTAGGGGAGGTAAATATACAAATAATAATTATAAATAAAAATGATTATAACATAACATGGTACATAATATTATTTCTAATTTATTTACTATTTTTTTTTTTTTTTGATAAATGTTCACATTGAATATGTCGCTTTTCATTATAATTATATTATTTATTATGAATTATTTCTATAATTGTATACTATTTTTTTGTTGAAAAATTATAACATTCACATAAT